TTCTATTCGTAATGAACACAAACAACGCTGCAGTTTGCCATTTAGGTATGACAAAAAGATCTGTTGATTTTTAAATCGTATATTTCTAAATGATATGTATTCTACATCATTTCCCTAAACAATTAAATACCATGTATCGATGGTTTGGATTCATTATGTATCCAGCTTGAAGATAATTCTTTTTTTTTTTAATCAATCGAAGTATAGATACAATATAAAATGAATTGAACATAGTATATGTATATAAAGGCTAAAATTTGTACTGATTTGTTTTATGAGTTTAAATTCACAATCTGATGCAAAGGCGTTTCTTTTTTGGTTTATTTCCGTTGAAATAAACCAGAATGCAATAATATTCCGGCTAATGGTTCAATTGCATCATTCAGTAAAAGTTTTCGTGAAACGAATTAATGCCACTACCTTAAACAACGTTATCAGATAAAATTGTAATAAAACACGTATGATGGTTTTGGCGCAAATTTTTGTCATACGTCAAAAGGAATATTAGAATTTCTAAGCATGTTAATCCTTTCGTTCCCAAATTATTCAACAATTACGGGAAAAATATTGTTTGGTGTTCTTGTTTATATGACATGACATACAAATGACTCACAAGTAACCCCCGCCTTTCTTAATATTTATGAGCTGAATACGAATCTGCAAACCGTTCCTTCCCAGCACGACCACTTTTTGAAAAAATCAATTTTTCTGTTTCATTTCAAATTTTCACTTTGGAGCTGTGTTTTACAGTAGTAGTTATTCAGTTTCTTTTGACATAAAATAATTCTCTGGACTCTTCCGAACAAAATGATATAAATTAATATTATATTATAAATATCTAAATATGTTTAAGCAATGTTCAAAGTGAAAAGGAGACTGAAAACGCACCAATCTTTGTTGATATTCCTCAAGTTTTTTCAAAAACTAAGGGTGTAGGAGAAAAATCTAAACATAGCATGTGATAGAGTAGAACATTCAGCTGAGGAATGTCTCAAGGAAAATTACAAAATTTGTTTTATCCTCAATAGAGAAACGAAATAGTTCAAGAAAACATGCGGCGGCAATAGTGGTACTCAATGATGGCAATCGCCGGCCTGGCCTACAAACAATAAACAAAGTACTCGCGTTGATCCCGGTCTCGTCTCGAAGACACGATTAAATGATAGAGCATTTAGAAACCACTCCGATTAGCTTGAGAGCTCTCGTAAGGTTGATGAAAGTTTATGATAATTGCAACTATTATGCTTCAATCGAAATAACGGAAGTCGCAACGAGATGGGCAGGGTAAATGTATGCATAAGATTTAGAGTAGCACTGTCGTTCTTTATTGCCTTGGACCCTTTTTATAAGCTAGGTACAAGTGGTAGGGATGCCGCGCAGTCGGTCACATGCGAGCCGAGCGTTACAGAAGCCCTAAACGCGCGTAACCAAGGCGCCCGGCGTCATTGAGTACCACTGTCACTGCCACATGTTTTGCTGAACTATTTCGCTTCTCTATTCAAAACAAAACAGACTTCCTTCATAACTTCCTTGGTAATTTTCCTTGACACCTTCCTGAACAGAGAGTTCTGCTCTATTGCGTGCTATAGTTAGGTTCTCTCCTGCGCCCTTAGTTTTGGAAATAAATTGAGGAATATCAGCAAAAATTGGTGCGTTTTCGGTGTTCTTTTCATTTTAAACATTATTTAAACATATTTAGATATTTGTAATATAATAACAATTTATATCATTTTGTTCGAAAGGGTCCAGAGAATTATTTCGTGTTTAAAGAAATTGAATAATTATTACTGTAAAAGATCAACACATCTCCAAAGTTGAAAATTTGAAATTTAAAAGAAAATTGAATTTTTTCAAAAACTGGTCGTGCTGGAAGTAAACGGTTTGCAGATTCGTATTCAAACCACGAGAATCTGTCAGAAACGCCTATTGGAAATCGGAGAATCTTTTATGCGTGTAACAATATTATTTGCCACTTGCCAAATTTTGTACTTTTATCAGTTATGCTTAATAACTTCTTCTTCTTAAAACCTTCCAAAGTTATTATATGTACTAAAAATTATTTTTCGTCCCTTTAATCAGTAAACCCGTTTGAAATTTTTAAAAGACAATAAAATTTTTCATGTTCTTATTGTATTTCTAACAATACTAAACCTTTGAATTCCAGAAAATGAAAGAAACAAAGGACCATAATGTTGTCTTAATGTACCCATAAGCTTTTAAATACAAAAGAAACTATAATACAGTCACAGATATGAAAAAATACGATACTAATATTTCATTTCGTAATTCAAAATACGTAGTCAAATGGCTACCATAAGGAAACGAAAGGGTTAAGTATGTTAGGTCGATGGTACTGATTAAATAACACTATGTAACATCTACAGGGTGTCCCGAGATGAAACAAACATGTTTAGTTGTCCAGCATATTCAAAAGGTTATTTTGAATCGAAACGTTCACATACCCAACAAATCGATCGCAATTTGTAAAATAGCTGGCATGCCACTGTAACATATAGTAACCATTATTGATTTCTCTTAATTGTATTTTCACCTACAAATACCGATAAACTCATCCATGCTACTAAATCGATCACTTCAAATCATGTTTTCAGACCATATTGGTGATGTAAATCTAAACCACGAGTATCAAGAATCTATTACTATTTCCCATTGAGATACATAAATATAATTTAGGGTATGTGTCTCATGGCATAGCCTACCTATCCCCAAAGAAGCAAACTGAAAGTAATATTTATTACCAATCCATTTCTGGATTTCGATAGACTCATTTAACTCCAATTCAAAAAGCTAAAAAGCACATGAAAAATCAAGAAAAGCCATCCTTGTAAAAATATACCTATAGTATTTTATCATTACTGTATCTTATTAACAGACTGAGATCGACTATATTGTACGCGACCATTTTGACTGAGAAAAACCTGCCAAATGTGCTTGCAAGATCTGTCGGTTTCGTCGTGGAACACATCTTGCAATGTATGAGACACATCCACAAAGTAAATTTCGGTCAACAACTAAATAGTCCAATGCAAGGAAAGAAAATGTTGAAGCCTGGCGAAGAATGCCTACGTAAATGTATACGTTATTTTTCCACATACTCTCCATTGAGTTTTACGCATTTTGGTGTATCGATGTACAAGCTTTTTTGAAACTTGCATCAAAAAAACCTTCTACCACAGACTCAGTCACTTTGTCACCCCTCTCGTCAGTCCGTTATCATTTTGACACCTTGAAAGCAATCTGTGAAACCTTAACCGTTTAGCTACGGCGAAACATGCCGCGGAGCTGTACCACTGTACGGACAGTTTGTCGCAAACTGCACGTAAACGACATTAGTACCGTGGACGGTGCTTGATACTTTCCATTATACATTTAGCTATATTCAAAAATAAATAATGTACTACATACAGCTGGTAAGTTGGTAACTTGACAGTTGGTAAGATACAGAGGCCAAGAGAGTAAGCCAATTTAGCCAATACCGAAAATGCGTGTAGCTCGACTCATAACTATATCCAATGAGGTTGGTTTATTTCGCTGCGCCCAATGAAACCCGCATTCCTTCCGTCTGTTAACTTACCAACTATCAGTATACGTTTTTGAATGCAAGATAAACAAGTGAGCCACCATAGTGGCGTGTCGTTCAACAGTGTCGCTTAGAACGAAGAAGAATGTCACTATAATGGTGTGTCGTTCCAAAAGATGACCTAGCCGAAATCCAATATAGGCGCGTATAGTAGCTAAAAGGTTAACAAATCTGAGACGTGTTATTCAAAACAAAAGACGTGTAATGCTGTCATCCGGGATTGTATCTTTGCACGATAATGCACGCTGTCACGCAGCATATTTGACTGTTTAGCTTCTTAAGAAGTGTTAGATAGAAAGTGTTTGATCATCCATCCACAGGATCATTCATTTAAAGCAGTGGATTCAATCGCAGCGCTTTTAAAATAACGATGGACTCATGACAAGAATAACAAACAGCTGAAGTCACTGATAAAAGATATTTTTATGCAGGTTTAAAAGAATCCGGCCAAACAATACACCAAATGCGTGGAAGTCGATAACAAGGTGGAAAAGCAATGTACACTCCCGCTCATATGTATTAGGACACTTATTGTTAGTGAATATAACGTTGATAGCCAGGTAGAGCAGGAGTGGTGTGAGAAGGTTTAAATAAAACACTTGATTTGTGGGAATGAAAGAAAGAAGAATAATTTATTGGCATAAAAAAATCTCCAGTGGAGGAAAAAAGCCGTTTTGGTAATTGACGAATTACCGGCATAATAAGGAGAAATGTACGACCTTATATCAGCACTCAAAAGGACACTCGAGGACAGCGAGGCCTTCGGTTTTACAGATGGACGCACACAATAATCCAGGGTGAATCTCGGTGGAATCGACGAGACAGTGGTGATGTAGTCGTTGTTGTAAGGTGCACCAGAAGATCCTTGGTATTAATTTCGAGCTGAAGAACGACTGTCGTTACTATTACACTCGCACGGGTAGAGTTGGCGTCCGGCAGGGCCGTCGTTCGCACGTTGATCTTGTATGGTAAATCACCTCGCTATCCCCTGATCACGCGAAAATAGAAACACACAAACTCGACACAAAGACGCCCATTTACAGAATCGTTGATAAAACCCAGAATACAAGGAAACCGGAACGAACGACCTAACGTTGCCCTACGCACACCGCAAACACGTGGTACAAACTACGCAATACCGATGACAAAGGAAGTAAATCGCACGCGACGCACTCGAGTACGCATCCTACAACGTTCGGAAACGAAACGACGACAAGATGCTCCTGCGTGAGCATCCTTAAATTTACACGGAATCAAGACCGGTGACAGTTCACGCGGCCGTCACACAAGTGGCAATCGGCCCCCCCCCCCGCAGAGCAGCCAATCGCGAACTTTGAACGAGCCTCACGGTCTGTTCACACCGCAACACATGTACAATTCACCCGAACATTTATCGAATATGAAGTAAATGTTACATGGTGTTGCGAAATAGCCGGAAATCTGGAATAAATATTGCTTTGAGCAGCGGTTCCCAACTTTTTTTGACTTGTTCTCTAAATTCTATCCCCTAATACATATTAGGAAAATGGTTGTAATTTTTATATTTGCTGTTATTTCAATTTTCTTCGCACACCCCTAAAACACCAAACACGACCCCTGAGAGTACGCGTACTCCAAATTGGGAACCGCTGGTTTAGAGAATATGATGGCTTGATGGGTAACGTTTGTGCTACTATGATATAATAAACGAGGCCTAAAATACATCATTTATACGAAACGTCACATAGTTTTCATATAGACCAGATTCCTGAATACTTATGAGCGGTAGGTAGTGTACGTATGTATGTAGGTATTGTTTGTGAACATTCAATATTTCTTTCTTCATTTACTTGGTTTTTGTAATTGCTGACCAGACTTTACTTTGCGGACGTGCCTCGTGGATACCAACGAAGACGAAAGGAAATCAATTGCAGGACACCTCGAAGAAGCCTGCGACTGCGGTACCAGGAGTTCGCGGGGCTCTCCTCGAAGAGAAGGAGCTCCGCGTGTGAAGGGGCGCTGAAACGTATCCCTGGGCCCGCCGTGGTGTTGTCCGCCGGGGGTGGCGGTGGCGGTGGGGGTGGAGGTGGGTGCAGACGCCGTGACTTGGAACGACGTGGTGGTGGCGGTCGGGGGGCCCCCTGCCTTGCCACCATCAGCTCCTCTGTTGCTGGGAGCGCGGGGGGTTGTGGCCCTGTGGTGGGGCTCCCCTCCTATAAAAAACGACAAGGTATCTTCTTCATCCCAAAAAAGGAAAAACGAATAACCGAAGGAATTTTTATATGAGTAATAATCTATATACACTATTCTTCGAGTAATAATAATTTTTACATACATTATTAAATTCATTGCTTTTTGTATATTATTGGATAATAATTTTGTGTACTCTGTTATTTCTATGATATTATGAAAAATAATTTTTGTTTATAAATGTTACTTAGGTATTACAAGAGGTTTGGCCTCGCAATGAATCTGCTATGGCAGGCCTGGCCAAACATTCGCCTAACATTCGCCTAACATTCGTAGAGCCAAATAAACAATAACATCAGCCCCCATCAGTCGCTTCTCTTGTGTTGTCATGTGTGACTGCTCCACTTCCAACACATAGTCACTATGTCAACGTTTGTCGCCAATAACCGACGAGTAGGGACTTCGGGAGTGTCGAAAGTAGAGACAGTCAGCATGCGCGCATACCTCCTGCCCGAGGATGACAACACAACAGAAGCGAGTTGTGTGGGCTGGTGTTATTGTTTATGTGGCTCCACGGGCGAATGTTTGGCCAGGCTTGTGTTATGGAACGCAATTTTGAAATCAGTTCTTTTACGGTTATACACATTTGGAATTTGATAGAATATAGAAACAATGCGATTATTACAGTATTTTGGTGATTTTATTTTATTTTATTTTACTTTTTTTTTAATTATATGTTATTAAGGAGAGCTGGAAGGTCGAACTTGTGAAGGATAGAATATAGATGCACTTTACTATACATTATAAGTTTACTATACATTATAAGAACATTCATAGAAATTTTATTTAGTAAGAGTAGATTATTATTCTAATAAAGATATCCTCGCTTATTTGCAACTGCCAAATTCGATAAGCTTTATCATCAATCATTGTTGTCATGAAATTTCATTCAAGTTTGCTTTCAATCGTATGCGATTAGAACAAAATCTAGTTAATCATATTGGAGAAAACAATGTATGTTAAACATTCGGATGATGAATGTAGAAGTTACGTAAGAAAATACCTTACTGTATTTTTCTTAAAGCTGTTGGTGATATTATTCAATATCACAACATGTTTCCTTTTCAACCTAATGAGAACACTGGAATTATGTGTTGATCGAAGTGCACGCGAGCTGAAGGTATAGCGCTATAAGTTGCATTATAAACTATTAGTAACTAAATTGATTATAAATCCTTTTTACAAACACTAACAATTGCAAGGAATGCAAGTATTATGCAAATTTTATGTATGTAAGAAATTTATTAGGGAAGCGATACGCTGTCAATGAAAGTTTAGCGTCACTACTATAATGAAACTGTCATGTTAAATGAGTCGCGTAACAGATATGAAGATACACGCTTTAACCCGGTACATTGTCCTGAATCTTCTGTAGCATGCCACATTAAGTGTATCAGACATACCTTCACTAGCAAGGACCGCATTCAATGTCTCGCCAATTTTAATCCCCTGTGACCACCTATTGCATCTAGAATTTACATGAACAAAGTATCATAATAATGTTATTCCTATTAATCAATTCAATTGTTTTATAACTATAAATTATTATTAAGGAATAACGAATCAAATTGTTTAAAATATTTTTACAGGTTTCGTAGATTCTTGAAATTTTGTTTCGCTAGATCACTTTGTTATGCCATTAAAAGATGTTCCCACGGTAAATAAAATTGTAGAAGGGAATTTAAAACTATTTTTAATGCATTGTAATTACAATTACATAATTACGCTTACTTTGCCCATAAAATTCATTACACATTAGAAGTAGTGAAATGTACATATCGACCTTTCGTCTATAACTTTGTGAATATTAAGAGAAATAGTGTATTACATGGACATAACATTAATTTATAAAGTCAACAAGAAAATGAAAAATGTGAATAGAGTACCTGCTTAATGATTCTTCATTTTTAATCGCATAATTATGATATTAGTAATTATTGAATCTTAACGGAATAATTTTACTTTGTCCTCGCGACAATATCAAATCCGTAAATTGTGTACGTGATACGAAATAATATCGCATAATAAATATGACATTCATCGCATCTAGTGGTGCAAGCTGCTCCTAGAGAGATAAATCCTAAATATCTTATTCCACGTCACAGCGTATTTGGGTCATCGTGGTCATTCTCTACGTTACATCCATATTTGACATTTGTCGGGAACATTCCTGATCATGATTAGAGAAATTATGGGACTAAACATACATTAATTATTAACATCTCATTCTATTATTTGAGAAAGCTTTAGCAAAACGTTCACTAATCTGGATAGAGTGTGACAGTTCTACAAATGAAAACAATACTCTGCAAAAGCAGAAGTTATCCTAATGAAATTTGAAAGTTTCTAAGTCTGGACGGTAAACTTCTCTTCATCGTTCCTCGTTATTATTTTACATTTCCTCTGGACAATATAAATTCACTGAACGTTCAGATACATGCAAGAAAATTTGAGTACAATAATATTCTAACTGTTACAAGTAACGTTTCGATTGCTTTAGTTTGACGTAAATTTTTATAACAAGGACATTCCTCTGAAGTGTAAATTACACCCATCAAACTACATATTAATGAAAATTAAATTCGTTAATAATCGTTATAGACAATAGATATCGTCCCTAAAATATTGTGATAAAAAATTAATGGTTTTATATCTGAAAAAAACTATAAACACTCTTCACAGTCGATCTGAAGTAGAGCACATTTTATAACAATTATCTTGATAGATACCTTGCACGTATATAATACGTAATTTTACCGCTTTAATACTGTCCAATATTGTCCTGTCATCATTACTTCTCAAAAAGGGAGATCGTTATTACAAATGTCACATGCTTAATTTCTAGGCGCAATTCCTGCTTATTTAATGTACAAATGAGTCTGCCCCATTACAATCAATTGAGCGCATAATTCCTGTTTGTAACTGCCGCTTCTAATTACTCAGAGTTTATTACAAACCGGTCGCGAATCTGGAAAGGTTTATTGTGTTTATTACGTGCCTGCCCAGAATTATGCGAATGTTCGTGACTATCAGCATCGCAGTAAGAAATTTATGGGCATTTTGGTTTGTATCATTAAGGTACCAGGAACATGTATATCTTATTATTAAAGTAGTTGTCTATATCAAATGTCTTGATAAATATGGCAAACTGTTGCCTTCAAAATCAGTGCAATTTTTTTGAGAACATGAGCATATACATTATTAGTAAAAAGACACTATAAGAAATAGCCTACTAATGGGTAATCTAATATTACATATCTTAATAAGGTTACAATGCAGATGAAAATGAATACATCTGCTCGCTCTTTTTCTTCCTAATAATGCAATGTGTGGGACAGTAATGAGTACTTTTAATAACCAAATCAGTTGTTTTTTAAGCAAATAGCAAACTTGGTAAAAAATATTGGATCTAAGCACTGTTTCTGAAGTTGATCAAGAAATACTTGAAATGCCTTAAAAAAAAAAATTAAAACTGCTCGAATTGGAATACATTCCATTTATTTTCTCCAAAAAATGTAGTAACACATCAATATGATATCTATAATATGGGTGTGCATTTTAGAAATATTTTCTTGTAATAGGTATAATGAACATGTGAAAATAAATTAAAAATTGAGGATTAAACTTTTTCGAATAAAGTTTATTATTATGGGAATTACTGTTGAAGGTATGGTTCTCTGTTGTCCATTTATGTTTTGTTTTTACAATAAAGCATATGAATAATGGTTTATGAGTACCAATACTGCTCTCTTCGGAGTCATTTTACGTATTCAAGCCCCACTAGACTTGTACATTCGTGAAAAAGATGGACATTCTGAGATATCATTTAAACGTATGCATAATTTATATACCTGAAACGACAGGTTCCTTGGAAGCAAAAATCCTTGCAAACAATGTTCTATTTTACATTCTTCAATTATTTTTCTATGTAGAATAATGTTCATTGATTGTGCCATTTATTATCTTCAAAATATCAGGAACAAAATAGTAATGCCTTTAATTTATTTTCAATTACAACCAGATGTCAGTTGAATTGATAAGTAAGAATGTGTGGAATATGTTTTCCAACCATGGGAAAAATGATAACAATGTTATTTCTATTTAGATTCACTGTATCCTACCGAAACATGCACTTAATTCGAGTAAGCAGTTACTGGTGACACGATCTATATTACCTACAATACAACCTTTGTAACTTGCTAAATCACATTATATGTTATCACGTCCATTGATGTTCATTGAACCTTCTCGAGTCTGTGACTGTTAAGTCGATGACTTTCCAGCAAACAGTAATTTCAGCAACGACTTAAAAATACAGCCTTGGCCACAAGTAGTAGGCAGCTTTATCATTATAGGTTGCTGCGAAAACTATTTCTTTGAAATCTTTCTCATTGTTCATCATCCTGTGGCGGGCAGTTCAGAAGAATTTTAAAACAGTTGACAAGGTTTATAGTGGGCTACAAAGCAACCGAGCGGTCCATACTCAACATTTCGTATTTTTTCCAAAAAATTACAGTCTGCTATCAGTACTCACTGCTAACATATATGTATATCAATCTGTCTTTAGTTTTGCTATTAATGTTTCGAAAGTTAGAAAACTTCCCTTGAAATATGCCGAAAAAGAGTGAACCGAGTGACCATCAACGCAAATTAATTCTTTTTTTTAAAGAACCGGGTAAAAATCAGAAAAGAATTGCTGTGATTGTCAGTCATTACGACAAAGAGTGGCCTAACAAAATATTTAAAAAATCTATAAGAAATGATTCTTTTCTCATTTCAATAGTTTCATTTTCGCTTAATACAAAAATATTTCTAAAAAAATTAATATTTTTTGGGATGCCAAATATTTTTGGCCAAGGCTGTATGAACTCAGTTACAGCAAAAGCATTGAAATCCCTAGCATTCTACTAGAACCATATAAATTACTGCAAAACCGTAAACAGTAACGTACATGTGACTCATAAAGTAGAAGAGATATAA